GTTCTCGCCACAATCAATTCCACAAGAAAGTTTGCTTGGCCAAATAGCACTTTAATTTATTCACGTCTTAAATCTTGATTGTTCGATCCACCCCCGAACACACCTCTTGTGTAGGCCAATTAGAACCGATCTTGTGCGCAGCTGTCAATCTGATTCGATCTGCATGAGTTAGGATGAGTTTCATTCTCTGAGGCCGTACGCTCGGTTGTTCACATTTCAAAACAACTTTGATATTATATTACTCGAAACAATTTTTTCACATAGGATGTGGTGAGACTCATAATGGAACTGAGCACATTCAGCAGGTCTGCAATATCGAAAATAACGACTAAACGTATTGAGCTTGCTTGGTTTAATTGAGTTCATATTACTCAACGTCCAACATGATTTATGAAATATTTTCTAGTAAAGCGTTACACTTAAATTCGAAAATTTGAATCGAAATCTCTGATCCTTAACTATAACACATGAAAGCGGGCTCTGTCGTGAAAATGAAGTGAAAAACTGCTTCTTCGAGAGAAAACGTGTTGTGGTGTCTTGCTCAAATCAAATTACTTCTTTCAACCGAGAACGTTGTTAACTTGATCGCATAGATTTTGTTACACTTGTCTAGTAGAATAAGTTCGATCGTCAAGAGGATCCAGCGGGAGTGTTTTGTAGATAGCTATGAGAGAATTATGAAAGTTCTAAGTAACGTAAACTCGTTTTCCAGTATTAACTATGGCACCAATCATAAATTTGAAGAAATATTACGATCTTTTAAGAGGTCAAACTCCAACGCAAACCTTGTCAATCCTCCATCATTAGGTATCTATACAAAAGGAAGATATGTCTCGATAAAAAGCTAAAGCTACAGTGGACGTTTACTAAACTTCCAGTTATAGCATTAACCCTTCCCGTAATTACAGCCGGAAACCAGTAGGCTGCAGTGTTTATCAATTATTTTCATGAGCACGTCAGAAATGTTTAGCTAAGGAGTTATTCTACTTCAATGTTTATGCCGTTGACAAATTTTCAAACTGGCAAACGAATGATGAATCCATCTAATCAATGATACTGCTTCATTGCGTTCTCATATAAATGCGCAAACAAACTCGTCTAGCCATCACCATAACAAATGATTCACCTCGAAATAATCTGACAAGTGAAAGATCTCTCAGTCCCGACATCAGGCCCAGCTGACCCTTGAAAGTTAAAATTCAACGTTTACGCTTTTTTCAAAGTTGCAATTACTTTGCTTCGTTGCCTTCTCATAATAACTATTGCGATGACGAATTCGTCTATCACCATAACAAATGATTCACCTCGAAATAATCTAACAAAGTGGATGATCTCTAGGTACAAAAATCTACCCAAGCTGATCCTCGAAAGTTAAAATTGACGATTCAAAAGGTGACCAGAAGGTACAGTGCTGAATATCTATATGTAAGATCGATGCACATACCTAAAATCTGTTCACCAGAGCATCCCAAGAGGATTGATCCACTTTAAACCGAACAGAGCTGTACTATACAGCTGTTCTCGTAAGTTTCAAAACTTTGCACACGTTAAAGAGATAACCCATGATAACAAGCAGTTTTCCCGGAATTTAAACCGAATTTCTCTGTTGATATTACCGAGAGGAGCTGGAGGCACAAAGATGTTCAAAAGCGTGTTAAGACTGTTAAAATTATGGATTGAAGTCACTCAGAATTTGTGAGGATAAACAGAAGAAGCGAAACGAGGAAGATAAATTGGTTTTTCCAGAGAAAATGTGAGGTCGTGTTCTGTACAAATTTTTACGTCTTTTGCTGAGAATATTGTTGATTTTATCGCAAAGATATTACTACAATTTTCCGGTAAAATAAGTTCGATTGTAAAGAGGACTTAAAAGTATTTTGAAGTAAGCTCGTTATTCCGTATTAATCATGGCAACAAACACAAAATTCGAACAAATATTACGATTCTTTGAAAGGTCACGATCAAACGCAAACCTTTTCAAGACTCCATCATTTGGTATCCTTACAAACATGAGATATATGTTCCAGTAGAAAGCGAAAGTTGCAATAGTCGCACGACGCTTTTAACAATAGCATCATCCCTTCAAGTCTAATTACAGCCGGAAACTTAAAGGCCACCAGGCCACAGTTTTTATCATCTATGTGAGATCGATGCACATACCTAAAATCCGTCCACCAGACCGTCCAAAGAAAATTGATCCGCTGTAGATAGAAGAATGAGTTCCACACGAGAGCTCGAGGTGGGAGCGAAGAACGCTTGTCCAATTTAGCTTAATTCTCCAAACTCCCCTTGTTAGCACTTGCTTTAGAGGACGTTGATGTTGTTTCCTGACGGAGTAACATCCAAGGACTAATTTGCCGTCAAGAGAAACTATTCACACGTCTCCATCCAGAATGTTGTTGAACAGGCCTACGTCGATTTCAATATCAGGAGCGAGTATTGTTCCTGCGCAGATTTCGTGACTCGCCCTAACCAGTATTACTGGTTGTGACCTAAACCGGTGATACTGGTTGTGGCCTAAACTAGTAATTCTGGTTGTAGTCGAAATCAGCAATGCTGGTTGGGGCCTCAACACCGTGTACACGATTTCCGCATTTATTGTCGTGCTCTGCCGAGGCGCTGTATAAATAACACATCAAAATCCCGTCGGGTAAACATTTGTGACTACTTGCAGGAGCAAAATTCTTATAATTTGTTCCATCATGAGGTATGTATTTGTAAGAGTTAGCTTAGGTATCCGAGACAAAACTTTCAAGTTCTTCCTTATCTTATTTCTCATTACAAGATTTCGATGATGCCCTCAGAAACTCTCCCTTCTGTCTCGAAGGTTTTTCTCGTCTCATCATTCATATTTTGCGTCTGTGATTTTTATATTGAACTTTATCTTTAAATTGCTACCGAATTACAGACAGCTTGCATTTGAAATATACTCTTCTTTTTGAAATCTAGTCCACGCTCGTGACAAGACGAAAAAACATCTTTCTCTTTTTCTTTACGGAGCTCAAAACTTACCATCTTCCTTATTTAATAATTTTATATAATTTGAGACTACTACCTCAAATTACTGGGCGCAGAAGTGCGCAAAAGGAAACCAATGCTATTTATCAACAATTTTAACATGACATTGCATAAAAATACTACTGCGCGTGTGGAGTGCGTTTCCGGCAAAAGAAACGCGTTTCCGGGAAAAGAAAACCAAAGCTATTCATCAACAATTTTAAGGTAACATTGCATAAAAAATACTACTGGGCGTAGGAAGTGTGTTTCCGGCAAAATGCGTTCCGGCAAAGAAGTGCGTTTCCGGCAAAAGGAAACCAATATTATTCATCGACAGTTTTTACATAACATCGCATAAAATATATGACTGAGCATAGGAAGTGTGTTTCCGGCGAAAGAAAACCAACGCTACGCATCCACAGTTTTATAAAACATTGCATAAAATATATTGCTGGGCGCAGAAAGTGAGTTTCTGGCGATCATCAACAATTTTTAGAGAAAATTGCAAATGTAAATGTCCCATTTGTCGCCACATTATGGCTGGCAGAGACGCTTTGCGTAAAAAAAAATTGTTTCCAAATGCATAACCCGGCTGAAAGGTAAAAATATTTTATAACATTCATTCAGTAAAATCATTTTGGATGATTGTGTTTGCGGTTCTCGTTCAGTGCACGCGTTGATCTAAGAACTCCTTTTTCCGTTAGTTACAGAATGGAAATAAGGCAGCCCTAGCTAATAAGCTTATTGCCCTCGCTCTTGGTCAGTTTACAAGAATTTCGAAAAACTAATTTAGTGGTTCTTTTTTTCATACGATAGTAATTAACGATTCTTTTTATTCTCATTTAATTTTACTAAACGTTTCTTCCTTACTATTCCAACTGTACTTCCGGCACAAAGTCGCTCGATTTACCATAGAAGTTAGATGTGATGTTTCACCTGAATCACTCAGTGATACGACTCATTCAGTCGATAAGATTTTGCTTTTTATGAAATGTATATGTCTGACTTACCTCGAAATAAGCTTTTGCCTGTTTATTTTGTCGTTTTACCCTACTACCTGTTCAAACTCTACACGCCTGGGTTAGACCTGTCAAGCTGCTCCCATTCCTCGTTCCTACGGACTGAACAAGGGAGAAATATCTTTGGACGAACCCAGTAATATCATCTGTCGAAATCAAAACGACATGATTTTCCCTTTTTCTTGCAGCTTAAGAAATAATGATTTTTCTGCTGAGGAGATGGAACATTTTGATACAAGGTATAGTGATGTTAGTCGGTTGTTAGATTAGATAATTGTTGTGTACTTGAATTTCATCGCAATCTATCGCCCATAATGTATCTCTTTCATGGATTAGCCTTGGTAGAATGAGTGATGGCAAAATCAAATTGACTGAAAAACATCGAAGGAACTGTCCGCTCTGATATCATGGACTGAATTGGGTAAAGTTGATCCGGATGAATTAGAGTTTTAGACTTGTTTTGCGTTTGGAATTCGTTCAAATCTGGCGCATAGGTAAATTTGCGTCCTTTAAAAATATCATTATGTTGCAACTGTAAAATTACCAGTGTTTCTCTTTTAACGCATGAATCTCAGTTTTTAGCACTGCGGTAAAAAATTTCATTGAGACTTATATTGATGGTGTGCAGCGATCTAAAACTTTGGTTACTTTGGCCGAAATGAACCAAGGTGACAACGTCATTTTCAACAGCAGCCACGCGGCAACAGTACTGATCATTCGCGCCTGTAAGCGATCACAACCTTTTGCTCTCGCTCACAGGAATATCGTGCATTCTAAAGGAAATCTCCCAAACTCGGCTGAAGCCAAAGACAAGGAAGTCCAATTACCCTCCTTTAATGTGGATAAAGGGGAAACCATGAAATAAGATTGTAACAAATTAGTGACTGGAGTTCTGCAAATTTAGAATTACGTTGGTAGAGATACATAATACAACAATGCTGAGTTAGGAGGTTTTTATTATAATATTTATTTACTACCTTTTAAAGGTCTAATGATTCAAGAAGTTCCGCAAGTAATGTCGAAACCTCAGACTCTGAGGTAAGTTCAGACAACGCAAATGTTCGGTTCGATTGATTATGTGACGTAGTCTAGAATGACACTGTGACTGCAAAGACTTATTTGATTTCCTAAAGAAACTGGAGAAGTTTTAGGAATAAACAAGGGAAAAAGTGAAATGCGGCAAACTTTGTGGGTCTTCTAGATCTCTAAGGGACCATTTAAACAAGAGCTGTTTCGAAAGATGGAATCATTTTTTATTGTAGCGTGGCGTCGTCGTCTCGGAAACATTAGGAAGAAAATCGCGTTTTTTATTTCTCTAGTTTACAGAAGTCAGTCAGGGCCATGCCACAAGCAATATGGGTGTACGTAACAACCTGCCTGAGCCGTCTACGGAGAATGTGGCTCTCGAAGAAGGACAACAGCCAAACAATCAGCAGTCTGATGTTGAAAAGGCCAGTGGTTCAACTACTCCTAACGAGGAGCCCGACCGGGCTGTCATCAGTCGCAAGAGGACTGATTTAGAACAACCAGGAGGTTACCAGATGCTACATGGAGGACGACATGCTACAGGAAGTGATGAAATGTCTACTTCCATTCAAGGAAATGAATCAGCCAGCACTATGACATTTGGTGAAGAATGTCGCCCTGTTTTAGAAATGGATCCCATCGCAGGTCGACCTCGGTCACCTCAGCTGGGTACTGAAGATGCTTCAGGCCATTCTATCTGTAATGGTGGAGATGGTAATGCTCTCCCTCAAGGAGACCAAGTTGAACTGGTTGACAGGATGGAGAGACCGGAACATCAGCCTTTTCCTCTGCAGGAATGTGGTATCCAAGTCAATGTGTTGAGTGTACCTTTTCAGGAGACGGAACTATTCAGATCACAGGAGTTAGGTACTCGCCAAACATTTCATCAGGGTTATACCTGGAATCATCCCTTGCAGGAGATGGAGCAGCCAGCTTTAAGACGGCCACGTGAAACTTCCGGCTTGCTTGCTTGTCACCAGCCTCGTCATGATGACTCCGTAAATGTAGTGATTTCTTTGGGTAGGATCCAGCAGCATATTGAGCATGGCTGTGAGCGCCAAGAAATAAGATTATGGCAAGGGCAACTTGATAGGCTAGTATTGCATCAGTTGAACACTACCATTTTTGGCACTTTAGATGAAAGGATTTTTTTACCGTATTGAAAACACATGCGTGACTTGGGCGTCAGTTCGATACCATAAATACTATTTGGAAGGAAAATTACTCCACACGAATTTTGAATTGGAGAAAAAGCCACCAGGAATTTGTTGGTTTCATCAAGATCCCCGGAAAGTCGGTTTGGTATAGCCAGCTCGTTTAAACAAGAGAAGCTGCTTTACTTATAGATAAAGTATCAAAATATCTGTCCTACAATAATTTACTGAAGACACTAACGTAATTTCAGTCATGAGGCATGTTATGTTTAAAAAGGAAACGAAATATGTTTCGTTTTCCCTAAAGTCTGTGGTGGTTTATTTACAGGTCTGCTTCACAAAAAGCCGTAAGGAACAAACAGAATCCTCGAGAGACTTATTTCATAGTGAAATATACAGACGTTGAGCAGTTTCGCCAGGTTGGCTTTCCTTTTTCTTTCTAATATGTCATTACAGTATTCTGTCTTTTAATTGATTTAAGCAGGAAGACACAGTACTTTTTAAAGTAACATGTTTTGCCAGTTTCTTTTCTTACGTTTCATTTCTATCTAATTTTAATACCGTCAGGCCGATGACAACGGATTGGCACCAGCTGTTTTCGGTCCCGCCATTGACTCCGATAGCTTTGAATATAAATTTGGGGTAAGGATGTATCCCAGTGGAGTTGGTGACGGAAGAGGCAGCTATGTTGCCATCTTTGTCCACATGATGGAGGGTGAGCACGATGATTTCTTACCTTGGCCTTACGCTGGAAGAATTACTTTGTCAGTTTTGGATAGAAATGGACAAAGGCACAACGACATCAGCCACACCTTGCAAGCTAAACCAATGTTAGCTGCTTTTCAAAGGCCTCGGGAAGCCATTTGCCCTATTGGATATGGTCTCATTTACTTCGCTAGGATAGAACTGTTCTTCGGTCCTCAATTTGTCAAAAACGATGAACTGTTTTTGAAAATTGATTTTTCATCAAAATGAAAAAACAAAAGTGAATTTCTGAATATTCGTAGAGTTCCTAGGAACATTAGACAGTGGCGAAAACGTGAAAAAGCTTTACCACGCTTCCTTATTATGTCACAGATTATTCACGTGATTTAATGTTTCTCTTACAACGCTTCGGTTAACTCCCACTCACAGCTCCCACCTTAATCGAAAATACTCATACGTAAACATCCCGTTGTAAGCACGCGAAACAATGCCATATATGGGGCGATAAAACAAGTGCCGCATATATGTTTGTTTGGTTATTTATAGATAAACGAAATCACTTATAAATGTCAATCAAAAAACTAATTAACGTTTCGCACAGTTTCCCACAGCAGTAAAGTTTTTGCAATCAATTGAGAAGTCTTGCTTACGATAATGGTCACCAGCATTCATATAAACTTTTTCTCTCTGAACTTTATTGCTTTCGGAATAGAGTGTTATTAGCTATTCATTTTGAGCTCGGAAAAGTCTACCTAAATCGGAATGGAACGAAAATAAAACTATTTTAAAAGAGGCGAACCTCGCTGCTAAAGTGAACGAATAGTCTTTACAGCTCGCATTGCAACTTTGCACTCGAGTTGCTTGAAAAATTTACTCTCTTTCAGCCAATCAGAGGTGTATAGTATTTTTGTGTATTTTTATCAACTGAGAATAGGGAATTCGCATGGCCAGACGTCGTGTTTATGGACAGTAGACTTTTCAAAGGAACGGCAAGTACTTATTTTTGTCGCTGAATGCTGACAAGTGCATAATAGCAGCTGTCGTAATTCAACCAATCATGAATCGAAGCTTGCCTATCGCTTATTATTAAAACTCTACCCTCGTTGCTCCGCCGGAAGTGTAATCTTCATTCTCACACCTCGTAATGGAATTAGTATTCTAAGCGACGACCTAAGTTGGAAACACGCAAGACACGCAAGTCATTTTTATTGAGGTGATGGAACCTGACGATGGTTTAGCGTTGGGACGCGGGTATGATACAAGGTAGAGTTGCGCTACACTCATTCTTTTATTTAGGAGAAAAATCTTGGCACGGTCCTGCAATCGCTCGTTGGTGTAAGGAAGGGGAATAAGCTGTGAAAAAAATACCTGTAAAATTAATGTAAAAGGAGTGTTTTATCATTTCCTCTTACTTTACATCGATGGAAACAACCTTGACATTAGGTTAGAACTCAGTGCGATCTGTGGAGATATCGAGATTATTATAATGGACATGGCTTGTCCCTTAAAAACTTTTATGTGAAATTAAAAAATTGAATGCACTTTAGTTTGCAATACATCAAATGAAGAGCCGTTGACTGAGTCAATTAGTTAACTGCACATTTTTCTGGTACGCAAATTTGCTTACTTATGCCGGCTGCGAAGGCTGTACTGCGTATTTTTGTTATCACGAATATAAGATAACTTCGGCCTAATGTCGTTCCTCGATTCTTGAATGCGATCCCGCAAGAATTTCTATTGGCAGAGACTTTCGCTGTCCTCTTAAGTTCCAAGAGAAGAGAAGGTGTTTAAACTTCAGTTACGTACGACGAAAAGCGAGCATGGTTGACATTAAAAATTTTGGGACGTTTTCATTGGTTGTTAGCAACCAAGTGTATCTCTACTACTGCCACGCAGGGATTTTGGGAATTGAGACACGTTTATCGACACTCCACTTCAACTACAAAATCATTATCACATTTCATAAAAATAATTTTGCCCATGCTACAGGTAAAAGCTCAGGGTTAGCTTTTTATATAGCAAATAGATTTGAAAGACTCGACGAAAATCCTTGGCAATGAAAGTTCTTGTTTTGATTATTTCTGCATCAACGCTTTTCGTATCTGTTTAAAGATCTTTTAGTGGCAACAAAGAAACTTTAAGCTAACTTGACTTGTGCCGAGAATTCTTCGACGATTTTTTTACTAGTCTGAGGGTTCGAAGAGCCCAGTAGGGAAAGTGAAATCCAATGTTATATAAAAACGATTTAGAATTCTGTCAGCCGTAAGAAAGAGAATGACCTAAGACTGTCAAAGTGTGACAAGACAGTCTGGTTTTATTAACTGAGTTAATTATGAAAATTGGCCGCTGTGAAGAGTTTCTGAGTAATACTACTGTTTCGAGCGTTAGCCCCTCTTCAAAGTCTCCTCACATTGAATGCTCCATGCTTCAATTTGGTTTTTCTTCGTTGCAGTTATATCAATACGAAAAATTTTTTACGGTTTGTTGATTGCGGTTTATCGAAATCTGTACAGCTAATCTTTGTCACAATATAATATCCAAACATTCCGCCTAAATACGTCATCTATCAGATCACGGAGGAAAGAACACGTGGATTATTATATATTAAAGTTCACACGACAACCAGGTGGACAATCAGAAATAGTTTGATGCTACACTGGTTTGCAGATTTAATGAATGTAACCGAAGAAGTTACAATTCATAGACCCAACGTTTCGACACTCCTGTCTAGTGCCTTCATCAGGGGTGATCTAAACGCTGCAACAAGAGGTCCTTTTATATGATCACTAATTAGCGGCCTTTTTTCTGACGAGGTGTAAATAGGCGTCAGGAAGCAGACCGCCATCGTCACGATTTATTTATATATTCAATGTGCCAAGCCTCCAAACAAAGGAGCTGGTGGTAACGCCGATTAGTGGTGATAATTTTAGAATTATCCCACCCAATTGTATGGTTGGTTAGGCAAGTATGCTCCGATAAAGCTGAATTTTCCTTGGCAGAATTAGTGACTCTACGTACAAAATGTTATACAGTAGTGACGGCTTATGTCCACGTTTTTATGGCTCACCTAAAATTCATAAACAGGGAATTCCTTTGAGACCCATTGTCTCTTTTGTTAATTCTCCGACTTATGCAATTTCTGGTTATCTTTCGAGAATTTTGTCGCCTGTTGTTGGGAATACTTATTACACTGTCAAAAATTCCTGTGAAATACGGATTTCATAAGAGATAAAACTCTTGACGCTTGTGAAGAATTAGTATCTTTCGACGTTGTTTCGCTCTTCACCAAAATCCCAGTTGATCTTGCCGTTAAGGTTGCGGAGGAAAGACTCAGAGAAGATGCTTCCCTAGGACAAAGAACTTCTTTGCCTGTGGAGGATATTATTCATCTGCTGTCTTTTTGCCTCAAAACCACGCAATTTACATATAACGGCACATACTATCAACAAGTTTTTGCTACAGCGATGGGTTCGCCTGTTTCTGCTGTCATTGCTAACATGGTAATGGAAGACGTGGAACAAAGGGCCTTAGCCACTTCACCGGTTAAACCCTTTTTCTGGAAACGATATGTCGATGATGTTATTTCTGCGGTATCCGGAAATGAAGCGGAGCGCCTCTTGTCGCATTTTAATTCAGTAGAGCCGTCGATCCAATTCACCCTTGAACGTGAAAAGGATAGACATTTGGACATTAACGTGGTACCTAAGTTCGCCTTTGTTGTTATTTTCAGGTTTGACCTAACAGGACAATAAATACAATCGGAAGCTCTCAGAGTTAATTCGCAGATCCTTCCTGCTAGAAAGAAAAAAAATAAACGTGTGTGTACGTGTGAGGCCTCGAAAGAGTAGGTTGCGTGACAATATAACAGTTATTTCGAAAGATGCAAGTAGATCTAGCTTCTTATAACACTTCCGTACATGCTTCCTACGAAAGCCAAAATAAAAAAAACTGAAATAAGATACTTTGATAGAGGCCTTTAGTCTAAATGGATAACGTGCAAACTGTTAGGTGTGAGTAAATATTTATGTCTGGGGTTCTTACAAATTGTACCTTAAATGTAGATGGAAATGTGAAAATTTTCATCCCTCTTTTGTTAGAGATACTTATAACATGCTTTAGTTTTATTATTAACTCAACTTTACCATTGCTAACGGGTACTAAGGTCTGATAAGAGGCTTCATTTCACAGATAGGAGTCAACAAGAGAAATAATGTCTAAACACAATTTAATAGCGTGTTGCCAGGTGAAGTAGTCCGAAGTCATCCTTAACTATAACATAGAAAGCAGGCTCTGTCATGTCACGAATTATCATTTTCGTCATTGTGGGAATTTTGGTGATGGAAACGTTGTTTATTTCGTCGTCGATCTTAAAATATGAATCCTTGCCCTATTCCAGTTTGTAGAAACTTGTATCTACTGTTTGGTTCATTGTTTGTGTGGTCAGTGCAGCGTAGTATTCTCTTTCCAAACTGTATGATCATCAAAATCAATTAATAATTACATGCTTGTCAGATGTTGATTTGTTCACGAGTCTGAATTTGTTAAATCCGTGATATTCCTATTCGAAAATCTAAAATATACTAAAAGTTTCGGTTTTGAAGCATCAGTTAAAAGCTAAGGAAACGATCAAGTTGTTGCTACTACGGTTAAACAATAAATATTTTACTTCAAGCGGAGATGTTTCACAACTATGTGCAGGAAATCACGAAACATGGAATAATAGCATCTAATGAAGTATATACGCTATTTACTATTTTGAATGATGATATATTGGTCGGCAAAAGTTTCTAAACAAGTAAATAAGAACTGATAGCTACAACTACAAGACATTTGTGCTGGTTTCTGACGTCATCGAACAAGACATTCACAGCCACTCTTTGAGGTATTTAATATCATCTCAAATCAAGTAATCGATAAACATACTTGAAAGCTTCTATTCCTGTTCTATTTCTATTCTTGAAAGCTTCTATTCCTATTTTCCTAAACTTCTAGCATTTTTTAATCCAACAAGCATAAAAAGCTGCCCGCGGAAGCCTGTGTAGTCAAATCAGATGTGATTCCGGCTTCAGTTGGCCATTTGCATCGTATTTACGGCGCCAGAAAAACAATATACACCCTGCAAACAAAAACTTGAACTGGTTTATGGCTTGTCATCATCAGAAACCCTTGTGCTGCAGAGGTCTTCAGTCGACTTTTGTGTATTCCATCTGGCGAGCATTATGCACTACAATAATTCTCATGCTGAGGCGTCCCTTAGTCCATTAAAATGT